TTACAAAATACAACTGACTCAAAGAATATTGGCCACAGACAAGTCGCCGCAAAGTGGTTCCACTGATGTTCAACTGCTGAGCTTGGTGGCGATACGAGACACTTGGGTCCTCGGCAACACTCTCTCTCACGGCTTCAATAATTTCATTGGAACGTCTTGGGCGTGGATGATTGTAGGTTTGTTTACCCACTGTTCCGTGCTCAAAGAAATTTTTAGCCAGCGCCCGAATTGTTTTGTCGGTGGACGCTTTTTGCCGTGATATTTTGCACGATATGCACGTTGAGTTAGCACAATTGAACGACTATTTTCAATGTACATCGTCACTATTTCGGCGCGTTCTTTCGGTGTAAAGCGGTCCATGGTTAAAATTGTACTGGTTTGACGTTTCCAAAACGTGTCTAAGAATGCAAATCGGTTGACAAATGGCGAAGTTATTCAATGTTTACATACCGGAGGAACAGATGGTGCACCCCCTATATTCTAAAAGTTTTAATTTAGTAGTTAGAGAAACCTTTTAGTAGTGTAGCAATACTAATCATATTAAAAAATACGTGAGAAATTTGATTTATTGAAGAAACAAATGGATTTGGATGATTTTTTCATAAAAAATACACTTGGATGCATGTGTTATTAAAATTTTATACACGTTCGATAATCCTTTGAACTTTTAAAACGACTCAAATGAGAAAATTTATGGTACAACAAGAATATGTATGGTACAACACAATACAACAAAGAGGTACAACAAATACAACAAATCTTCATGGTGGCAGCTGGTGGCAAATATTATTACAGTTTATGCAATACAGAATATAATGGCACCAATAAACTTGAAATACTGAGGGGAACTTCGGAGAACTTTCGATTCAAAGATTGTCACATTTCAAAAAATTGTATGTATTATATGTATAAACAGGTATTATTCAAAACAATAGAAAATTTCGACATATTTTCTCGTTTGATATTGAAATATACTTTCTTTGATAAATGAAAGAAAAGTTTATAGTTACATGTGTGATGTTGTGAACATATTGTACAAAAGTGTTAGTGAAAGAAAAATTAATGAAAATGAAGCAAATTTTCTCATTTGAGTCGTTCTAAAAGTTCAAAGGATTATCGAACGTGTATAAAATTTTAATAACACATGCATCCAAGTGTATTTTTTATGAAAAAATCATCCTTTCATCTTAACCGGAACATTGACTTTTGGCCACTTTATGAGGTATTCTGGCCCACTGTGCACCGCTCTGCAGACTTTCATGAGGAGACACGGCCAGATGACGCCCGCCGATCGACTAGAACGAACGTACCACAACCTACCGGAATACCACCTTTACATACGGAGGGGCGACTTCCAAACCATGGCCGAGCTGTTGCAGAGGACCGACGAATACGAAAGGGCCCGTCGGTAAGCGAAGACGTACCAGTCCTGAGTCTACCTGCTCCGTCAGTAAAGCCGCCAATCCGCGGAACGGACAGGACGCACACACGGCGACCAGACCGCCATACTCCGCGTGCAAGAGCGGAGGTAGCAAGCACAAATAAAATCGCTGTAGGTCCTATATAGTGGAGAGTCCGGATCTGCCAGGGGGGAGGTGTAACGTGCCGTAAATAACGGGCGGTGGGCACCTTCCCCACCGCGCACATTTTTCCCGGCACCGCTCCATCCCGCACCTACGAGCAAACAGTATATAAGAGACCGAATCTTCTACCGAGAGTTCCCGACCAGCGAGTTGAGTAGGTCCATCTACGGCGACGACGAGATGAGTCCGAGCCGCTTCCTAACCTCGCGTGCTGAGCGAGATACCGAACCCCTTCCGATCACGACGCGTACTGAGCGTCATCCCGAGAACCGCGAGTTGAGCGGGAGATCCTCTCCGACCCGGGCCACGAGTTGAGTGGCAATCTTATCCGAGGGCTAGAGCGAGCTGAGCGAAGCCCGGAATCCTCGCCACGTGTTGAGTGGCTCGTACACAAAACACCCGGCCTAACCCGTACATGCGAGCTGTCACCGGCAAGACAATACCGCACCGCACCGACGCCGTACGCACCGAGCCGACGCCACGCGCACCGCGCCTGCGCCGCACGCATCGTGCCACCGTACCGTGCCGACTCCGAACGAACCGGGCCGCACCCGACACACGGTACCGATATTTCCGCACCGCCGCCGACCGAATCGATTGAACGAGCCCGCGTCACCGCGAAACAGTAACTATTGTCCGAAGCGCTCATGTGCCAGATCACATTACCGAACCGCCGTCAGAACGGCCTTAAGAATAAGAATAGTTGTAAGCTAGTAGTAAGTACACATGTAGTAGTAAGTAGTTTTAAGTTGTAAATATATCTTAGCGTTTAAGTAAGAACTGACTCTCTCTCTTTTCGGGCCACCCACCGCCGGACCCTAGAATTCCCACGGCTATCCGTAGCACTAACAGACACAGATTCAAACGGTCACAACCCCATAGGAAAAAATCAAGAGGTGTAAAATCTGGTGAACGCGGTGGCTATTCTCGGGGACCGTGAAGTCCGATCCA